AAACAATTCTAATGATTATGTGAATAACGAGCTTCGTTTACAACGTATTGTTGTACAACTTGTGCTACGTTGCACAATATTTTGTTCATTTCGTTCACAAGTTGAATGATTAAACAATTCTAATGATTATGTGAATAACGAGCTTCGTTTCCAACGTATTGTTGTACAACTTGTGCTACGTTGCACAATATTTTCACCATAATGGAAGAAAGTGTTGTTAAAAAAAAAAATAATAAAATAAGTACAACAGACTGTAGTCAGTCGTCTAATCTAACAGACCGAAAGTAATATTGATAGGCAACATATTAATAAGGTTGTTTTACAATGACAACATTTCATGTTTACGCTACTTTAAACAAGTAAGTATATAATCATAGTCATTTTAAACTTCTAATTCTCAAAATAAGCAAATGTTCAAAAATGTTAATAAAATAAAATTGGAACTTCGTACAAGAAAGCAAACTTCCAAATAGAAAAAAAAAACTTTTTTGTTATACATACATATATATATATTTAAACTCTACAGCTAAGGCAACATCCATGCAGAAATGCACACATTACGTTAAGTAATTATCTATTGAACATATAATTGGATGACGAGATTAGGTTTAATGATGTGTGGCCCTTCCAGAAGTAGGATTCAGGTAAAAAAAAAAACACTAAAATATTAACTTAACAGATGTATTTGTAATGTTGATGAAATGCATACACATTTATCAACTACATACACGTATTTTATTATAAAAGAGTAAATATTTTTTTTTCTCGAAATTTAAAATAAATCTGCCTGAGTCTAAAAAATGACTATGATAATCTGGAAGTTCACCAGAGACATCTTGTTTTATTTTGTTTCCTTCTTCATAATAGATTGAAAGGATTTTTCCATGATGCGATACTAGTCAATGTTCAACTAAGTAGATGTTAACAGGAGAGAAAATGTCACTAGGAGCAACTTGATGTAAATGATAGATGACTCTTAGAATAAAAGAGAAACACATTAGATTTATTTTTCTATGGAAATAAATATTGCACACAAAAATATTATCCCCATATATTAAATACTATCGCTGAAAAAATATAATAGACAGTATACTGCTAAAAATTTCAAAATTTAATTCTAGTTCTATGAGTACTTTAATCTTTTTATGATATGAGTTACTTTTACAGTACTGTGACTGTATGCCGCCAGAAAGCATCAATAACAACTTATAACTAAGCCTAATAATTAACTGCATATATTATGACAAGCGCACATAATAATTATCCGATCACATTAATTAAAGACACAGAAACTGTATAAATTTCAGTACTATAACATCTTTGCAGGGATTCAATGAACAATTAAAGACACAGAAATTGTATACATTTCAACATTATAACATCTTTCATGGGATTCAATGAACAATTAAAGACACAGAAATTGTATAAATTTCAATACTATAACATCTTTCAAGGGATTCCATGAACAATTAAAGACACAGAAATTGTATACATTTCAACACTATAACATCCTTCCAGGGATTCAATGAACAATTAAAGACACAGAAATTGTATAAATTTCAATACTATAACATCTTTCCAGGCATTCCATGAACAATTAAAGACACAGAAATTGTATACATTTCAGTACTATAACATCTTTCCAGGGATTCAATGAACTTCTACGTATATTTTCTGTGAAATGAACTGCGTGATATTTAAGCCATGCTTGTATTACAGCAGTTGATCCAAAAAGTAGACTCTTTAAATGAGCCAAACAATTTAAAACATCGTTTACATATGTTTGTTTGTTGCTAAGCGCATGGTCGCACAATGGGCTATCTGTGATGCGCCCAACGTAGGGATCGAATACCGAAGTTTAACGTTATAAGCTTTCAATCTTGCCGCTGAGCCACCAGGGCCTTATATATGTGATTATGTCGTTTTAATTTCGTCTAAGCCGTTATTAATTTTGAAGTGATAGACTAGAGGGAAAGTAGCTAGCTAGTAGCTAGTCTGGCACGCTAACCACTGGGCCGCATAAAGCCTATACACGTGGCAAATGCATGGGAAATTATGTGCTATAATTATAACATACTAGATGCGGCTGTCTGTGCTAGTAATTACTCGTCGTAGTATTCATCACTCAGTAAAAAAAAAAAAAAAATAATAAATTAAATTATTACTTAAAACTTAAAATTTTTTTTTTTTACGTAAGGACGTCGTCGTGACTAGGTAAAGGTAAGTTTGGTACGTTAGTTCGTT